CCTAATCCCCCAGCTATCTCTCCAGATAATATAGTGAATCTGATTAAAATGTTGTAACCAAATAATGAATGATAGATCCAAGCTATATATAATGGACTTTAGTGCCTATTTTCAGTAACTCTTCCTCTTCTGTAACAGAACCACATTGTGTTACCTCGTAATGTTTGATGATGTCAGCACTGATGAATTTGGAGTGTCAATTAAAGAGGGAACTCTTTAACTGAACTCTTTAAATAAGACTTCATGATTACTGAAGAAAAGGTTGAATGTTTTGTTTCTACTCTAATTAAGCGCTCGCTAATTGAGTTATTGTAGTGACGCACTTTGGGAAGCATAAAAATTAAAATTTTACAAAACAAAAGCAAAAAACAAACAAACAAACCGTAGCTCATTTTTTCTGTATGCATAGACCGAGCTCTATAATTTCTCCAATATAGTTTCTCATATGAAAGTGGTCTGCTTAACCTGGCTAGGATAATTAGAAAGGTAAGTAAAGTTAAGGTTAGTAAAATCATCGGGTTTTTTTACTTTAATTTTTAACACTGTCTTTATTTCCGATCAAATACTGTGATCAGATTGTTTAACCAGCTGTAGTAAAGTAGTAGTGAGTCCTTCCAGCTTGTAAGTTTACTAACAAAACACCATGTTTCTGTCATTTTTTAAAGGATGTGGAAATGTACATACAATCAATATCAGACTCCACCAACAAAAAGGCTCTCAAAACAATATATATATGTGAATTTTTGCGTGTATTCTTATAATTGTTACTTTTTTCTTTTACCCCTGGCTTTATGTGTTCATGTTCTGTTGTTTTGTATACTTCATCTGTTCGTATGTTGTATACTCATTATTTGTTAAATAAAGTAAAAAAAAAAAAAAGTCCTCCCAGCTGATCCAATCAGGCACCACTATTTAAAGGGGGTGATGGCTGTCACATGGTTAAACCTGCTTCCTGTTTATCGGCTGTTTTACTTCAGTATCTGTTTCACAGCTTGCGACACCACTCGGTATTGCTGAGGCTGTTATCCACTTTTATTTTGCTACCTTACAGCGACAGGACAGTTTACTGTATACATTTAACAGTTTATGGTCGTGGTTTCTAAGGAGACAGGAAGACATGGCACTGAGGAAACGTGAGTAGGCCGGGAAGGATCCTGGAGATTTCCTGACTCCAGGTGACGGGGAGTTTTACTTTATTGGTGCTGAGAGATGAACGAAAGTTTACCCTATGTCAGAAAATAAAACGGCTGTTTATTTATGTTGAATGAATTTACCAGGGCTTTGATTTGGTGGAAAAGACGAACGATAGGCTACGCCTGGGGACCTGAGCTAGCCTGTTAGCTAGTCTTGCTAACCTCTGTAGCCTGCAGCGGCAGCAGCTGTGGTTTGAGTGACCGGCTTTACTGGCTGGCTAACAGGCTGTGTTTGGAGAGTGGAACAGTTCGCTGGTGCCCTGAATTCAAGAAGACTCCCCGGCTCCGGCTCCCTCAAGCGGGCAGTCAGGAAAAAGCTGGCTGGGAAGGGATGGCCTGGTCGGTCTCCCCGTCCCAAAGGACAAGGCTCAGCGGTGTTTGAAGGAGGTCGAGTGCGGCTCGAAGCCACCGCAGCGGGTCCAGGCACTATGACTGACATCCACCTCCCCACGGCCGGCGGCTTCCCGGCTCCCGGGCTGTTGGTCAGAAAGAGTGAAGAAATAACGGATTTGATAGACCTGTTTTCCAAGACGCAGTACAGGGCAAAGGAAGTCACTCCTCGGGTACTTCTTTTTTCTCTCTACTTTAGCTTCATGATAAGTTACTACTTTTGCTAAGGATGCGCCAAATGCTATTTGTATTAAATCAATCAATTTAAATGAGTTGCACTGAAGACATGCTCAACTCGGCAAAAGAATATCCAAAAAGTAGTACGTAACTTGCATGCATGTTTTTAAGTTGTATTGCTCAAGCTAGACTGTCTGATTTGGCTGGCAGTTTGACTGCTCAGTGTCTAATAATGCAATCTAAGGGTATGCATTTGGACTGTGTGGCTAGAATCTGCCATACCAAAACAATGGGATCTTATTGTCTCTCCACATGAGCCTTTTGGACTATAGTATTATCTAAAGGAACCATTAAGTACTATTAATATAATGTTTATCTCCTTCAGGTGGAGGCCATAGAGACACGCTGTCTGCACCTGTTTGCCAGAGATTACAAGTACAGCATCATCCAGAACACCAACGGAGAAGTGTGTGGACACTACCCCCGACAGATAGTTTTCCTGGAGTATGAATGCCTAGATGTGGAGAAAGACAGGTATATCTCTACTGCTCAGTCATCCGCTGATACAAAGTTCAGCCTAGTTACAAATTACCCACTTGTTTGGACCAAAGATCATCCTCCGTCTGCAGCCTCTCTGAACACATAAAGGAGGCAGAGGGGTAAAGTGACTGTTGTGTCACATGGAGTCAGTCACATTATAGCAGTGATTCAAAAAGGCCCTCTTTCTCATTGCTGATTCATGTAGCGCAACAAATTTCCAGTAGAGTGCTAGAAATAGCTGTAAGACAGCAGAAAATTCCTTCATATGCACAGCAAGATCTATAGATCTTGTCAATTGGTTTTACACAATTGAAACTCCTACATTGAAAAAGACATTTTCTTTCAGTTAAAGTGACTCCAAAGTTCATGTCAGCTGAAAAATTGTGGAACAAAAAAACCTGATTGCAGTTAATGCATGCAACCACATGTATAACTGCACCCAGCGGAGTATAGAAGCAACTTATCAGTTGACAATAAGAAATGTTAAGTCATTTAGTAATCTAAAGTAGCAAACATGGTTGAGGTCAAAATGCTGGCAGACTTTACATCAGAAACATCTAAATATTCTTTTTGAATGTATTCATGTGCAGCCATGTTTCCAGTTTTTAAGTGTCAGTTAAAAACAAAATGCACTTTCTCACAAATGTCTAAGCTGCACGTTAAATTGAAAATGGCAATGGACTGTGCATATTAACTACTGAGTATGATGCAAGAAACATGGTTACAAAAATTTATTTATGTAAATGTATTGTAGTGAAGACAAAGTGCACTGAGAATCAGGAAAATTGGGAAATTGTGTTTATCACTAAAGTGAATGTTTAAGAAAATCCAGAGTTGCACAGGGTTTCAAGTCTGTCGCAAAAATGTTGCAATGATCTAAAGTTGGATACAAAGTTAATACCAATATTGCAGCTTGCATCTGTAATAAATGTTTGCATTATGGGGTAAAAAGTGTGAGTCATCTGTTAAGTATCAGTTATTGACTCTAATCGTTGAGTGTCTCTGGCTGCTCTATCACGTTTGATCCCTTTACTTTAGGTAATCCTCAAGTGTTTCTGTGACTGCACTTGCATAAGGTTAAGTGTGGGTAAAGTATTGGTGGCTATTTAAAAAAACAAAAAACTAAATTTGTAGCGGAAGCTGAACGTTCTGCTCAGATCTTACCTTTGGTTTACATCAATTGGAGAGCAACTTAGTTTCCTCGTCACTATTGCAGAAGGCCTCTAATATGAAAGTAATGCCAGTGTTTAAAGAAGCTCCTTCAGCAGCGCAGTGCTGCTTCCCTGCCACTAACGATTTTTATATTAGTTTAAACTTTCAAAATGGAAGAGTCCAGTGATTTAGTCAGGTGGCAGGATGTTTAGTTAAAACGGTCAAACCAGAGCAATGTATGAAAATGCTGAGGGCTTTCATGTGTCAGTGTGCTAAAGTTTTTCTAAGAAAAGAGTTTTAAAAAAAGCTGCAACTGTCAATTTCATTTCTGCTATAGTGGTTGCAGTTTAGTTTTTGAAACTGGGGGAAGATCGACAATATGAGCGTAAAAGCTTTTAAGATTTTATTGTAAATTTGCATAAATGAGACTGGTTTCATTTGGAGTAGAAATTTGTTAACTGCTGGATTCTGTTGTGTAGTTGATGTGCAGAGCATGTGGTGGTTTGTGTGTACAGGTTTGAGAGCACGGTGCAGATCTCTAAGCTGCAGGACCTGGTGAACCGGAGTAAGATGGCTCGCTGTAGAGGGAGGTTCGTCTGTCCAGTCATCCTCTACAATGGCAAGGTATCTATATTGGTCTTGGTTACATACAACTGTTCTGTTTCCTCCATGTGGCAAAATTCTGATGTCAAAGGTGTGACCTCCTCATGCTGTGGTTGCTCCTTAACACTGACGCTTGTGAAGCAGGGAAAAAATGTACTCAAAACAAACCCAACCTGAATAGTTTGAGGTTAAACATGCGGGTAAAATGTGTACAGTGCTAACAAAGAAAAATCCAGCTGAGTTGGAAGCAGAAGCTCGTTTGAATTATGTATCCTTGTGTTGTTGTGAGGAACCAAAGGGGACGAGTAGAAGATGAATAAGGGCCAGAGCATCTTGGACCCAATTCAGCCTGCATGCATCAAACTTAAGTTTATTAGATCTGTGTGGGTGCAGTGAACCTGCAACACTAAAGATTACGTAGTGTCAGCTCCAGCTAATGTTACATCTGTGTTAAGGCACGAGGCGCTGAGCTACAATGATTCTAGGGTACTAATGCTAACTGTCCGTGCTGTTTTGTGAGGCCATAATTTTGGTCTGACTGACTTTGTGGAGCATTTTCCTTCTTTAAGAAGTAAAGTAGCTGAAGGTTCAAAATTTTCAGTTTTCTGAATGTTTAAATTTGACAATGACTGAAATATAAAATGTGGTGTGTTCTTTGCTTGCCATATTTTAGCATATATGCCGATCGTCCACACTGGCAGGCTGGGGGGAGCTGTATGGACGCACAGGCTACAACTACATTTTCTCAGGTAAAAAGCACACACCTGCAAATGGCCTAAAGTTTAAACGTGAAGTTGTGGCTGATTTATTTTCATGATAAGTTTCAGTTTAGATTGTGACCTGTGAATAGCTGCAGCACTTTTCTTTCTGAGCCTTTGTTTTAACTGAAAGTTGCCTCCACTGAGAATCACAGCTCATCAGGGACGACTACAGTTGTTTCTGTTTTAGTTCCCTTTTAACATCAGTTGAGGGGAGCGTGTGGGGGGGTGGAAATGCACCGAATATTAAGATCACTTAGCATTTCTCAGGCTGCAAAGTTCACTGCTGTGGTACAGTAGCTGTACTTCCTGGCAGTCTGACAAATGGTGCCATTTCTGCACACACTGACTCTATGAACTAAGTGCAAAGATTATGTCTGCATTACAGAAGCTTTCAGAAAATTCTCCAGAGACTTGGGATTGACTTTTAGGAAGACACTTGCTGTTAATGAGTGGAAACATCTAGACTCACACATGCAAATTTCTTTGTATTTGACTACACAAGAGTGCATTCACTGTTTACACTCCATTTTAGGACTAGTGGGTGGAACAGGGTCCTAGTTTCAAGTCTGCATACTGGTTGGGCCTTTCTCTGTGGAAGTGTCTTCCTTTGATGTGGGTTCTGCTTGAGTACTCCAAAGATGTGCGTTAGGTTCAGTGATGATACTACGAGGTGAATGTGAGCTTGAGTCTCTGTTAGACCTGAGGTGTACCTCACCTCTTACACATGACAGTGGGGTGGGTTCCAGCCCCCCATAACTCTTAAATGGATGAGTGGAATAAGATGTCTGAATGATTTCCCACTTCCGTTAAGGTGTTAACTTCCCCCTTTATTGGAACAGTGTTTTATCTGATGCTGCACTTATGCGAAGTCTGTAACAATTAATATTTCCAAGCCTGTATGTGGAGAGATTGACCCACTAATGTTTTCCTGCTATTTTTATAATTTATCTTTGTTTAGGGGGCAGTGATGACACATGGACGGAGTCGGAGGAGTTTCCAGAGGATGACAGGGTAGTCAGGTAATGGTTACCTTATCTACTGTACACACAGGACACGGCTCTGTGGGTTAATCAGGACTGTGGGATGGCTTGTTTTTTTTTTAAATGTATTTATTTTGTAATTGTGTTAATCTCATGGAGTCAAAGTCTCATCTGTGATAAACAAAAACAAATTAATCCATTTTAACACTGTCTAATAAGACTTTTGTTTTTAAGAGAAAAGTCAGAATTTGGATTTGAGGGTAGGTTTGATGTTGGCACTGACCTGATCATACAGGGTTTAAAAAAAAAAAAAAAA